CAAGCCAGAATGGCAAGAATGCAGGCCATTGAACACCAAGATACATTATCTACATGTAGGCCAGTCTAGTCTTTCATAGATAAGAGGGAGAAGGTAACTGTTATGGCAGTTAAAATGTGCCCAGTTCTACTTCACATTTCTAAACACTGACAATCTGGAAAAAATATACATACAACTCCTATCAGGATACCTAATACAGTAGTACATGTTCCTGAAATCAGCACCATTAGCCTAATATAATTACTAAGGAATTCTTAGCTTTAAGGGGTGTAGATGAGACATGTTAGCATATCCCTGGGGGGTCATTATCAAACTGAGCTTCCTACTTATCTCATCTGGGTACCAGGAACTTCCACTTTAGGTAACAATCACAGTTTTCTCAGCTGTTTCCTGAAACTCTGCACACACATATAACACATTTCCTTCTGCAGTTACCTCCATACACTCCAGTGATCTGCACAGCCAAATATACCCTGGATGCCAAACTAGTATCGGGCCGTTAGCCGTTTTCCTTCGGCAGCCGAGAGCCCTTCGCCCGCCTGCCTAAATTAGCGCTACGGAGGAGTTGAGCCCGATGGGAGTTGGCTGGCCAGCCAAACTCCCCCCGGGCTAGACTCCCCCGTAGCGGTAATTTACACCAGCGGGCGAAGGGCTTTTGCGGCCCGGACAGCGAGTTTGGATTCCAGGGTAAGCCAAATAGAACAACCAATAATTCAGCAGTAAACCAGTTACATCCCATTTGTGCGAGCAAAAAGATGCCTTTGAATGGTAGGAATGAACATGGTTAGAAGAGTGCACCTGTCTCGAATACATTATTCAGCACCGAGGGCATTCCTCTTGTCACTGTTTACACAGCAACATGCTACAGACTCTTAGATTGGAAAATATCACAGGGAGGAGGATAGTCCTCTTTTGTTGAAATAACTTGACTTTCAATTTGTAGATTACTGCAGTAACATCACATCAAGGACATTATCCTTGGTCACATCATCCAAGCTTTGAACTATCTAAACCTACACTCACTTGCAACCCACAAGGAGAGTGGTGTATTCTATGTCCAGAAGGGGTATCATGTACTATGTATTTACATACATGTGCTTCTTACTGATAGTGAGACATCTGTGACCATGGACATTGCTCCTTCCTGTCCAAGTTACAATCTTCCTGCATCTCTTTACTATACTTCCTTATGAGCTCATATTCCGTGATGGTACAATGTTCCTGTGCCCTTAACAGTATTTCTCAGGCTCAGGTCCACAGTTGCACAGAACCACAATCTGTCTAGCTAGGTATCAATATAGATTCAATGTTCCAATCAGTTTCTGGAGGAAATTACTACCTCCTGCCCGATGAATAACTACTAACTGGACTACAGTACTCTACTTCCAGAGGTGGACCAACATGTAAGACAAAAGTCAGGAACTGGCCAGACTTCTGTGTCCTTGGACCCAATGGGGAATACATACTTGTGTGTAAGTAATACTACCAGGTTATCAGTACAGCCTTAACCAACCACCAAAATAACACACTCAGTGCTATTTGATCTACCACATGTGGCTTACCATAGAGTACAATGTAGCTGCTATATCTAGACTAGCACCATGGTCAGGTTTTAACAAAGATCTTCATATGGAGGTCAACCATTGCATCCAAGTACATGTATCTGGAAAAACAAATCATTTCCTTTGAAAATTATTTACCAAATAATACCGAACTGATGCAGATAATCATTTCTGAGAATAGTCTTCCTAATTTTTTCTCAAATATATGACCTTACCCCTGCAGTCCTTATTGCTACAGAGGCGTTACATATGCCTGCTATGTACATGACCCTATAAATATGTTACAGAGGAAAATAACTTGTCATGAATTTTTACAGCATTCTAGCTGGTTTAAAAAGGACGGTCACATCACCATCAGTGCCAAACTCAAGATTACAAGATTACTTAATATGTTTTGAAAATAGAATCTTTTTCATCATCGATTATTTACACAACTTGTCTCCAAACTAAACGTGCCAAGCTTTCTTATAAGATAGGCAAGTAAATAATCAGATTTTTATCGCAATAATCACCAAAATTCTTACTTCCAATACCGGTATCTACTAGTAATTTGATATTTAATTAGCTTAACAAGTAACTAATTCCAACCTACAAAATATGTCATATCTAAAATTTCGTAGCAACTTCTTCATTAGTATTATTTCACTTTTTTCAGTGTCCACATAGACGTCTTGTCATATCAGCCAAAGGTTCTAGTTCCCTCTTCTCTACCAGGTTATTCTCAGTGACAAAGAAGTAGAAGTGCTTGTAACAGGTGTTGACGTGAGGCTCCCCGCCAATGGCGACCACCCTGTCAAAATGGTGGATGTACACGTGTACGAACACCCTGAACAGTCGTGTCAACATCTTCTTACAAAGGGGCAAGAAGTTCTTGGGGAATGGTGTAGAAGTGTCCAGAGGAAAGATGTTTTCATTGTTGATGTTGGACTCAATCCAGTCCATAAGAAGGGAGATGTACTTGTTGGCAGGAACCATGGTGGGTTTCTTGTAGTTGTGGTCATCAGCCCACCTGTACTCGTACCTGTGAGAAAAGGCATTGTAAATCATCAGCAAAGTGACAACTCCACCCAACTCAGATCACTGCCAGTTGACAAACCCCGTTTCAAGTTATAACAGCAAACACATAAAAATTAAAAGCTTTGCCGTAAAGTACAAACCTTCTCCCTCTATGACCACAAACATATCATTTTCAATTTGAAAGCTACAATACCAGTTGCCTATGTATTCAAACAGTCTATGATTTTTTTTTATGAGGTGTGATCCAATTTTGATAGGTTAACTTTCTGAATTGGGCTAGTATGCCCTCAACCTCACCTTTGTGGTAAGAATTCACCATGCAAATTGTTAGTACTGAACTGCAGTATTGACTACTATTGAGCCATCTTTCAAAGATGTTTAGGTAAATGAAACACTCTCCATGGCCACATGATTTACTGTACACTGTAATTTTTAAAGCTAGCTGGTCCCCGGCCCTGTATATTATTATTTCTTGAACATCTCTTTGGTTGAGACCAAATCCTTAATTTGGGGCTCAACACAACAAACCACTGCATGAACTTGATAAAGCTGTATGTTGGCTAGTTGATCTCCTGACTGCCATGAGAAGCATGTGATTTGTGTTCTACATTGATTATAAGACATGAGTATCATATGCCTCATGGAATTACTGTAACAATGCCATTATAACTTATATAAGGCTAAATGCCAATAATATAAATATCAAACCAGGATTTACAATGAAAAAGAAGCATGTGGTCTGGGATTTGGAGATTTAAATAAAGGAGCGATCTACATCACAAAGGTCAACAATAGGTGGTGCGACACATCTTGATAAGCTCAAGGACATACAAGCCCCCTCGGTAAACTGCTACCCTGGCAACCTGCTGAGATATTCCTTGTGATTGGTTGACCTTTCAGACAGGAGCAGCTGAGGGTATATAAAGATTTATATAATCCCCAAGCATAGGAGAGTGTTTCACTCAATTTATAATCTTTTTAAGCAAGGAGCTTCTATGCAATTTTACAGATTACCTCATACAATGTATAATAAAAATGTATCTGTTCAATCAGCAATAGACACCCAAAACAAGCTATTCCCTCAAGTGCACCTTTGTGCATCATGTAACTGTACGTTTCCCCCACCCCTGTGTAGTGACAAAAGGAAGACTAGTACATGTACATTGTAACCATGCTGTCAGTGTCACTAATGAGTATGTGGGTTGGAGATATGTGGTCCATTAGTAGGGTTAACCTTATTATTTACACTAATTCACACAATTTATTGACATGTTTGTCAGTAGAGTACTGACAAGAAGAAACATCTATGTAGACCACACCAAGGTACCTGTCCTCTGATGTTCACCATGCTTCATTTATGTGTCATTTTGTTAGACTTTCCCACCACTGGCACCAGCCAAAGAATGCAGACATTTTAAGACCTGTACATTTCTGTTTCAATATGCTGTATATATAGAATACAACACGGTGTATTCCGTATCGCCCGAGGTACCAGCCCGACCGCGGGTCGGATCGCCCGACGGCCGAAGGCCGGAGGGAGATCCGATCCGCGGGAGGGCTGGGACCGAGGGTGATGCGGAATACACCGTGTTGTATTTTATTTATGTCATACCCACCCACGAAAACGGGCCTTTCAATGCGAAAGGAGCAAAAATTTGGTATCACTAATCCCAAAAAACGCAACAACATCACTTCCAACGTCCGAATTTTGCATTCGAATTTTCGGAAGCGTTGCACGCGGTTAGGGCGAAACGCGTTCGAATCTTTCTATGGAACATTTGAAAGCCCCGGGCCGTACGCGTTAAGAACCCCCGGGCCGTACCGCTAGTTATCACACGGGCCGGAACACCCGTATCGAACGTAATCGCGGCCCAGGTAGGACATAAACAAGGTTACCATAGGTTAAAGATACTGCACTCTAAACGTGTGGGCCAAAAAATCATGTAGTGTCACACTTTCTGGCATAGCAATATATATATTAGCAACTTTCTGGCATAGTAATATATAATATATATAGTAGCATACATATGATGGGGAAGAGTAACATAACATGAGAAGAACAGTTTGGATGTAACGTGTATTTATTTCCACAAAATCTCAATATTCTGATGTGATGGACACTAGTCAGCGGCCCACTTCACAAGTCTCGCAGCTGGGATTACCACCAGGCACCAGCACAAATGGTCCAGTTTACTTCACTAGTTGTGTACGTGCCCATGAAAAATTGATCAAATTCAGACATGCTGCCCCAGGCTACCAAAAACTGCAATCAGTCCGATTAATGGGGGAATGACTACATCGTCCCTTGGGTTGGTGGAAAAATTGATTTGGACCACGACAAAGGCTCTACCCAACACTGTGTCATCAACACAACTGACTTCGACTTGCAGAGATTTTGTAAAATTACTTTGTTACTTATCACAAGCCACGACCTCGCACTTACGTTACTTGCATACAAGATACTCCCACACTTGCCATCCATGGTTTGTTCTTGTGGTTTACGTCCCACATGTTATCGATTGTAAGTTGTGCTAACGACTTGAGAATTGGAAAGTTACAACGATGTAACCCTAATATTATCCCTCGTGATCTGAAAGTGTCGGATATGTTTCAATGAGGCGAATTAAGACGATAAGGCGGAACATCTGTACCAGGCAAACAGCAAAGTCTGGAGGGGTTCCGCCTCCAGACACTTGTCAGTGTAATGTTGCACAAAATATTTGAAGAGACCTTGTTTATAAACCACTCTAGTCATTTGTTTTTGTGGCTCGAGAACTTAATCCTAGCTCACCTGGGTCCACCTGACATGGTCGGGCAACTCTCATCGGTGCAGAAATCGCTGATGGTGCCATAGATGAGGTTTATCCTGTTGAAAAAGTCGACAACGTGTACGGCCACCCAGTCGTTCAAATCCTCCCTGTGCGGCAGCCGGACGGCCTCCCGAAGGTCCCTCCCGCCACTCAGCGTCGCCTGGGCGTGCTTGTGTAGCTGGTACCTCATAGTTCCCTGCTGGAACTTCTTCTTTGGTCGAAAGGTTTTCTCCTTCGAAAAGACCCTCTTCATGTCCTTCAGTCCCGCAGCCATGGTGGAGCGGAGAAAAACTGTGACAAGTCCGGAAAAGTCCCGCTGGCCAACTCACTTCCAGGCTCACTTCCTCATCTCCACTCGTTATGGCCGCAGCAAAATGTAAAGTTACTGCAAAGTGGCCACCCTCCCTTCCGCGAAATAAAAGACTTCAAAGTTTTGAACAACTGCTCTTACAAAAAATAGAAGTGCAAACGAAATGTTTCTTTTTTTCATCTTTTCAATGCCAAATTACAAATAAGTGACGTAATATTATCTACATGTTGCTGCTTTCGACCCGCCTCCACCCCTCGGATGACGTCATCAAAATACAAACACGAAGACGACTAAAACTGAAAACTGTGGAACACTGATAAAACGTTCTGAGTATCTCAAATCACCAAGATGTTTTTGATTTTTATTTGTTTTTACCTCTCCCACAATGCCACATGTATATCGTCTGTAACACGAAGCTGCAGATACTATGACCTTTACTGACCTCATTACCCGGCCAGAACCAGAACGAGGCTGGAAGAAAATCGGAGAAGTTATGTTAGCAAGCTGAATTTGGTCTGATTATTCCTCTCCAAAATGCCGCTTTTTGAAACGATAGGACTTGGTGGCGAGAAGACAGCGGTTGTCATCGATATAGGGACGTCATACACAAAGTGAGTACTGTCAATTGGCCAGATTTCTTCATGAAATTGATACATGATTTTGTGTGCCGGCTTATGTCATATAACAGTCTTAAATTACTATATCAAAAAGATGCATAGTATGTTATATCCAAAGCTGCAAAGGCAACGATTGCAGATGCATGATTTTTTTCTCATGTGCTATCACTGACAACAGGTTAGGCTTTGCTGGAGAATGTGGACCTCGTGCCATCATCCCTAGTGAGGTGAAAAGACAGCAAACAGGGAAGGTAAGAGTTCATCACAGATTGTCTTGTACATAACAGGTGATAACTTTTCTCCCATCACTCAAGGACCAACATATATTGTGACTGTTGATAGTATACAATCAAACATATGTCTAGATAAAAACATTGCAATTATAGTTATACATAGTTTGCCTGTAACAATGTCTCAGCTATGTAGAAAAATAGTATTTGGTAACAACCTGGATGTAATTGATTTACCTCTGATCTTTATATTCTAAGTATTAACTAAGTAACTGTTACATGTATATATTTTCTGATGAGTGATGATGTTACTGGAAATATCATGTACATTATGTGGTACAAGTTATACAGCCGTATGTACAGGGCTGGATATATTTTTCCTTAGGTTGTTAGACTAGAAGACTACTACAACACAAACCAAGATGAACTGTTTGCTGTGCTGGTTGAGTTTCTACATCAAATGTATTTCAGGTAAGCAGTTGGGTTCACCTTATACCAAATACTGGTTATCTTATTCAGGTACTCTTGTGTCATTAAGTGTCATTAATCTAGACTTGCTTCTTTGTTTGTGAATGCACTTGTCACTAAATATCACATACATGGATACCATACATACATACATACATACATACATACATACATACATACATACTTACAGACAGACAGACAGACAGACAGACAGACAGACATACATACATACATACATACATACATACATACAGACAGACAGACAGACAGACAGACAGACAATGTAACATACAGACAGACAGACATACAGACATAATGTACATACAGACATTCATTGGTCTGCAATAGGAGGAATCCAACATCTCAAACATACTTACATGTTGTATGCTCCTACAAATGATCTCATATTGTACCAAAGATGTTGATGGTGTCTTTATGAAATCAACCTCTGCATCTTTAATTAGGTAGCAGCTTAATATTTCTTTATCTGTATGATACAGGTACTTGCTGATCAACCCCAGAGATAGAAGGGTCCTCATAGCTGAGTCAATCCTGGTTCCCACCAGCTTCCGTGACACTTTGGCTAAAGTCTTGTTCAGGCATTTTGAGGTGAGCAGGGCATTGTCATCATTTGTACTACACTGTCCAATGTAGAAGGATATATGCAATGGGCACATGCACTTCTATTCCTCAGGTCTATTAGTTACATTAGTTCATTCAAGTGTCAAAATTCAAACATTACCACAGTATGGAAAGAAACATGTATACATTTTATGTCCCTTATTTTTTGGATTTCAGGTTCCATCAGTGATGTTTGCTCCCTCCCATATGTTAACCCTGCTGACCCTGGGCATCAACACAGCCCTGGTGATGGATGTGGGATATGCTGACACATTTGTGCTTCCAATATCCTTTTACCACTACCTAGATATGATGTGGCTAGGGAAGGTACAATCTAACTTTTCTTAATCACATGAGTGGGACATATAAAAATCAAATTGCTCTTGTAATATGTCAATCCTGGAATTGAAAGGAAGAAAGACATGGCATACTAGAAGAACATGATATCTATGTTGCAGCTGTGAAATATTGTTGCATTTTTAATCATCCCTAGCAAAGGGATATTTATTGTATTAACCAGTCCACTTCTGCATGTGCCTTTTGTTGACAGAGTCTCCAGAGACTCACTGTACTCCCAGGGTTGTTTGCATTAGTACTTTTTACCAATATGTAATTAAATCAAGCAGGTGTTTGTAATGGAGTTGATGTGAAAAGGGATGATACAAATCAAATGGAAACATATGGATGTTTTGCTCCATGCTTTTGAAGGATTTGTTTCCTTAGCTGTCAGTACATCTATGAGGGTGTGGCAGTCTTGGGAGCTTGGCAGAGCTTGCCCCTCAGTGGAAGAGCTATTCACAAGTAAGGACAAAAGTACTTTAACTTTTACACACCTGTTTGCTCAATAAACTTTCTCCTGTTTACAGATTGTTTCAAAAAGATAGGTGAAAAACTACAATGATTTATGCGGTTCATAATTAGATTTGCTATACTCTCATGTTTGACAATGTAATGCAATACAGTTGATGTAATGCAATATGTTGCTAGGAGGCTGGAGTCCCTGCTGCTCGCAGAGTCAACAGTGGCCACAGAAGGAGGCACAGAGTTACCTCTGTCTTCAGTTGTGGGTCAGTAATCAGTATGTTGAACCTTAATAAACTTTTTGTTAAAAATCAATAAAAACAGTAATACAGGTTTGAAATCATGTGTCATCTCCATGTGTTATTTGTAAAAGTATGACTATAAGCTGTACAAATGTGGTTTATTCAGTGTGTGACATGCGTTTCCCTACAAATTTCAGGCACTGTAAAAGAAGAGATTCTGGAGGACATAAAAGGTAAGTGGTGCTCCCTTCCATTTCCAATTCTGGTGTATACTACTAGTGTATTAGAAGTGGAACATGAAAAAGGTTAATGTATCATTATTGTTGTAATCTTTGCATCTTGTTAATTGAGTTAGATTTCATCTGGTTGGATCAACAGTGTGCAACTTTGTCTTCCTCCAGCGAGAACATGTTTTGTGTGCAGTATGGAGAGATCAAAGAAAGTCCAGGATGCAGCCATGGCTCAACTGGGTCTTCTCGATGCCAGCCAAGCTGGACAGGTCTGCACTTGTTTCTGATATTTTGCTCTTGCCAAGTAGCTTCCTTATTTTAGACAGTGCAATAGCAGCATTAGTGGTGCACACAGCCAATTTGTGCCAATAGGACTTGGCAGGCTAAGAGTTGTATCTCAGTTTCACTCTCACTACTGAGTTTCATTAATTGTATCAAAACATAAGAGGAGGTTTACCTTTCAGTACAGGCAGTAGGGAATATATTATCTAGAACATACAAGGGACTGTAGTAAGACGCTTCAGGAAATGACAATGCCCTAGTAGTAGGGCCTAGAACTGGCACATAACACCATGTGAAATATTCCCTACACTTCAGCCCCCCACACCACCACCATCTGTTGAGTTCCCGCTGGACGGAGCCAAGATCCTCAAAATAAATGGGTCCATTAGGTAAGAACATTTTTGCCTGAACATTACTTGAGGCCTTTGTAGAAGCTTCAACAATTGCCATTTTTATTTTCTAAGTGCTACCACCCATTACTTCTTCCTATAGAGAGGCAGCCACAGAAGTACTGTTTGAACAGGACAATGAGCTGCAGTCTGTTGCAACCCTGATTTTGGATGCCATCATTAAGGTAAGGTTGGCAAATAGAAAATGCCATGAGCTCATGAGTTATACCTTCCTGCTGTCATAAAAACATATTTTGTGTGCAAGATTGTTGTACTCATGAGCTTTGATGTGGTTTCAGAGTCCCATTGACACCAGGAAAGAGCTGGCAGAGAACCTGGTTGTTACAGGCGGTACTGCACTGCTGCCAGGCTTCATGCACCGTCTGATGCAAGAATTAAACACCCTCAGACAGTCCCCTAAGTACAGCAGCAAACTAGCTTTTGGCTCCTTTAAGATACACAACCCTCCTGCTCAACCCAACTGTGTTCCTTGGCTTGGTGGTAAGTGATAGATTTGTCAAATCATATTTCTCACCAACTTATTTGATGACTTACAGTATTTGAAGCAATCACTGAACTTACATGTATAATTGCACTATACCGGTATCTACTACTAGTATCAGACATAGTCAGACATAAAATCAGTTAAATCAAGTGCCCTTTCGAAGATTGGTTTTCATTTGAAAATCTGACATATTCTACCATGTTACTCTACTGTTTATGTTGTAAACACTTTGACAATGAACTTTAGATATAATGCAAAATTTATAACTTGAATTTTCAGGAGCCATCTTTGCTGCAACTGAAGCCCTGGCATCCCACTCCTTTACCAAGGACATCCAGTATGAAGGCCCCCACATCCCTGACTGGTGTTCTCTCAACAACAAGGACTTCTTCACAGAAGGAGTGGTGGAGAAGACACCTGTCTCTTTGCCAACCTTAAGAAAAACTCTGGAGGCCATCAAGAGTAGTACAGGGTTAGGGGCTAAAGGAGGCAAGGATTCTGGGAAAGAATCTGGTAAAGGGTCAGCAGCAACCACTGTGAAGCTGGAAACAAGTGGGGAGAGCACGACTTAGACAGTTTTAATCACTATTACTAATACATGTATCTAATCAATTGTCTACAGTAAGCTGTTTCTTCTGGCATTGCCTCAATACTTTGGCAATGAATATTAGATGACCATATTCTGGTGTGACTGGATTCTGATGTAACCTTCTGTCTATTGCTTAGCCTGGGTGCCATCCGAATTTGTAACGGCTCCCCCGAATTTTATTGCTTACATTCAAGTAACAATGTCTAGTGCTTTTTAGAGTATTTTAATGGTCCGTTTTGCTTTGTGTCAAGTTATGGCCTTAAAAGAATGCCAATGTTGTCTTTCTTGTAAGGCTTAAATAATCATTGACTGACAGAGAAATAATACTAATAGCAGTTGAGTAAAAATAACACGACAATGTTGGAGGGCATAAACTGCTCTACATCTATGAATACTAACGTTACAGGCTACAGATGACAGTGTTGGGTTTCTTTCATGGGACAGTAATGATACTGTCAGAATAAAGGAAATGCATTGACAATTTTTTTTTGGTTTGAAATTATTAGTAGTTATATTGAAATTAGTTTATATGCACAAGATCAGCTATTGATATTGCCATACAAGTACAAAAACAAACGCACATACCCCTGATCCTGAAGTTCTTATGGACCCATCAATCATAAACATGATTTCTTACCTCAAATCTATGTCCTTGATTCCCAAGTGTTTATGCACATGTTCAATACTGGCTGGTCTTAGTTGAATTAAGAAAATTAGTAACCTTGCTCTGAACGGACATAATTTTGTATAGGACTTGCTCTTAGTGGCTTCATCAATGAATATTTTTTGACACAATGAAGCAGGCACCATTACAGACTTACATCAAGTCAACCAGGTAATCCAGGTTATACTAACGTAGTATATGGGGAGCCAACATGATAAAGATCCGTGGCCGATAAACACCGATACCGGGAACAGCACTCTAGTCCAGTGGGTGAAACCCTCCTTGATTAGAGTTACTGGACTAAGGTGACGCGGAACTAGTACTGACTTGTTAGGGCCTACCCAAGTAACCAATCAGCTCTCAGGGGAGAATAGCGTCATGGGATATGATAATTAGCTCCGGACCAGCGCGGATTTGGTCCAATCCACGATCGGTAAACGAGGGATATTTCTGTTTATCCGGGCTTTTAGTGGGACTGAAATATCACTTGGAAGCGTCCGATTGAAGTATTTTCTTCTATGGACTCGTTTTCCCGGTGGTTCTGACCAAAAAATTGCGAAAATCGTGACGAGAATTCAGGGTAAGCTGTACCCAACAGGCACTACTACCAATCCAAGATGGCGGAACCCACGAGCGAAGAAGATGGTGTTCCACTGAACAATGTAAATAGTGCTCAGATGGATGAAATTCAAGAAGGCAGTGTTTCAGCGGAACCCTCTGACAGTGAGTCTGTCGTGTCTAAAACGTTTGATAAAATGTCCAACTCGCTGGTTACTGTTTCATCAAGTAATGGCAGTCAAACGACTTCGGGTTCCGCCGGCCCACAGGATACTCTGACCGAGGATGTTATGACAGGGTACGTAGAAACGCCCACCCCAGTATCGTCCGACCTGAACACATCTGCTGTGAGTACTATATTGTCAGACGAAATGGCTGCAGGGGAAGGGAACGGGGTGATGTACGTCCAGGGCACTGGAATGGTCGAAGAAACGCAGCTAACTCCTGAAGAGGCTAGGCTCCTGGAAGAACAGGCTCAGCAGCTAACGGAGGAACAGCAAGCCGAGCTCCTGCAGCAGCAACAAAACGACTTGCTGCAGCAGCAGATCTTTGAACAGCAGACTATTGTTCACCAGCAGAATCACATCATTAGTGAGGAAGGTGTGACACATGCACTTATCCAATCACAAGAGCCACAAACGCTGGAAGGACAGATAGTTGACCAACAGACCATAGCTCTGGATGAGCAGACACAGGCATTACTACAGGAACAAATCAACCAGCAGCTGGCAGAACAGCAAGGTTCGGTGGTGATTGAAGATCAGATGCAGGTGCTGTCTGCCAGTGGACAGTCTGCAGTCACAGCACCTGCACAGGAGATTCAGGCAGGTATCCAGCCACAGGTAGTACAGACCACAGTAGGCACAGGTGTTCAGGTGGCAACAACATCACCGTCACTGGGCCAGGCATCACAAGTAATACAGCAGGTGGCACAGGCTGTAACACAGCAGTCTACTAACCAACAGTCACAGGCCAGACAGACTATAACAGTTGGTAACACCACGTACGTTCTCCAGCAACCCACCCAAAAACCCGCAGGTGGACACACGGTGTATGTTCTCCAGAAGCCTGGACAGTCTAATGTGCAGCCACAGGTGCAAACGGTGACAGCACCAACATCACAACCAAATGTACATGTGTTACCACAGACCAGTACTGGTAGTGGCAACACTGGTAAACAAACTGTGTATCTTATTCACAGAACAGGGCAAAACACACAGCCAATACAAATCCTACATAAACCAGGACAACAAATTCAATACATCATTGCTCCACAAGGTCAGACAGTTCATATCACCCAGCCAACAGGGGCTACACAGGTGCTACAACAACAGGCACAGCTAGTGCGCCAACAACAGCAAGTGCTTGTGATTCCTCAGAACCAGCCCAAAAAGAGGGGCCGTAAACCAAAGGCTGCTCTGGCTGAGAAACAGAATGGAGAAGTTGATGATTCTGAGGATAAAGAAAAGAGACCTCACAAACAAATGACTAGATCAGGACGAGTCTCCAGACCACCTTCATACAGAGTCAGAGACTACAAAGTTATCAAGACAGAGGATTTGGCAGACAGCCAAGACTCCTCTGAAGGGGAGTACTCAGACTACAGCCCTGATTCAGATGATGATGCTGCAAAGCTGTCCAAAGACGACAAACCATATGTTCCACTGATGTCAGAAAAGCCCAGAAGCTGGAAGTGTGAGACCTGTGAGAAGGCATACATTGGTAGAGCAGGACTGGGGAGGCACTATAGACTGTACCCAGAACATGGCCACTTGGAACCAGATGAAGGCGAAGAGAGAACACCTGGTACTCCTGCAGAAAAAGACAGGCATTCCAGAGACAATGCTGAGGTTGGAGCTACACCTACAGGATCTGTCACCAGCTTTTCTGGTAGGTTTTCCTTACCCCATACTAGATGCTTCCAGTAAAAACAACCTTTAATGGCTTTATATCTTTGCCATGATGTGCGTTTAATTGTCTTTTGCTTATTTTACTTATGTTTAGGAAGTTTACTTCATTTTCCATTCAGTTTGTATGTATGACCTGTATTAGTGGTCTTTAGTTGTTTGAGAGCTGGTCTGATCATATTGTTGTAGTCCATTCTGTCTTATAAGCTATTTGATCCCTAGATTAGATGATCATATGTGATACGAATACAATTGGGGATACATGTATTGTAAATCTGCAGTCCCAGGTCACTACTTTGTTTTCACTGCAATAGCGTGAGTTGCATTCTATAACAAAGTGGAATGATTTTGTGAATTTTGTGTCATCAAAAACTGGGTCATCCTTAGTATCAGTTGATGATGCCTCTATGGGTCACATGCTAATAGTTCAGAGGTGACATTTGATATCATCAAATCTTCACTGACATAATTTAGCTACAGTGGAAACAAGTGGACCCCCACCCCAGTCAACCAGCACCACATCCATCACCCGGCCAACAGGCAGTGAGACTCCTGTCAAGAGAGGACCAGGCAGACCCCCCACCCAGCATGGCGAGGCCAGAAGAAAGGCCAAGTTCAGAGAGGTACAATGTCGAACAACTATTACTATTAGTCTATTTATTATACAGGCAAGCTGAAATATAGCTGGCATTGTTCTTCATTAATTCCATGCTAACTGAGCCTACAGTACTGTCCTGGAAAGATCACACTATGCCGTCTTTTCCATGCCCGTAGCCAGGATTTTGAATGGGGGGGTTCTTCCCACTGCTTGAGGGGACCTCGAGCGCCGAAGGCGCGAGGTTCCTAGGGGGGTCCGGGGGCATGCTCCCCCGGAAAATTTTGAAAAATGAACCTTCTAAAATGTCATTTCGTGCATTTTTGAGAGGATTTCCAAGAAAAAATCAGAGATAAATTTTTATTCAATGACAAAGGGAGCAGTTTTTCTACGATTCCAGTCCATTTTTCCAAGAAAAATCTTGGACCTTTACATAAAAAGTGGACCAAAAAGTGGAGCTTTACATAAAAAGTGGACCAAAAAGTGGACCTTTACATAAAAAGTGGACCAAAAAGTGGACCTTTGAGCCTTGTGGGGGGTTCGTGGGGGTTCTTCCGAACCCCCCGAACCCCCCCTGGCTACGGGCATGTTTTCTACTGTAGAGTATCCCACAGTGACTTTTGTATTCCTATGATGAAAAGGTGTGATAGCAGTCAGGGTCTATTTGCAAGGAAGTTAGAACCAATACTAGTGACTTGGATTAGATGTCCTATGTGGAAGTACTGGTTATGTACATAGATTCTATGGATAGATGGAATGAGAAAGTGTGGCTGTTTCTCTCAGCTGTTAAAGCAGATGAATGATGAGGAGCTGATGGAGCTGGCTCTGCCCCGTCTCACCAAGGCCATCACACTCTGGGAGTTTCTGCTCATGAAGGTGGAGCGTGGACGACCCTCCAGGTCAGAATATGTTAGAGAGATGGATATTTGACATGTACAGATTGTGTACATGATTTCTTACGGAATATCTTAGTTAAGTCAAAAGTTGGTCCAGAATGTTCTCTAGTTATGACATAACAAGTAAGGTCATAATGTTATAAAGTCATTTGCTAATGTACAGATTGTTCTTCTAAGAAATTATATGATGCATATGACTATTCTTTTTCTAAATCTGTTTATTGTAGAGCCCATTTTCCTGATGTGTACCAGGAGTATGAGGTTCTCCACAAACATGTACAGAAGATGGCTGAGGAGTACATGGTACAACAGCCTCCCGTCACACCAAACCAGCCCAGCCTGGTCATACAGAGTGAAACTGTAGCAAAGTCTGTCGGTATCACACCAGAACTTCTACAGGTGAGACTTAAGACCGTCATGTTTTTGTATGCTATAATAGGTAACTTTTTACCCCAATTCTAACATCCCAACAAACTAATATTATTGGTAACTTGGCACGGTACAACAACTAGCATGTTTTTTTAAACAGAAATTTGGCTTGGTGTTATATCATTGGGGGTATCCTGAGCAGGCAATGCTAGGCATATATCTATGTCCTTGTTCAGAACAGTACATAATGAACAGTACATAGAAATTCCAAGAGTAAATGCTGTAGGAAATACATTTTATCTAGAAATGCTCTTTGTAATTTCTAGATCAAATGTCTGGAAAATTTCAGAACTTAAATAGGGGCAAGCAACCATAGGTTGGATTGGCTTGCCATATCACGAACCACAGGAAGAATAGTTCCTGTCATGTTCATGTATGCTAAATGTGGATCCTAATAAACTCAACTCATCTGTATACATGTATATTTCACTCCCTTGTATTTTCTATCGATGTTTGCTCAGAAGGGGAAGGAAGCAGCACAAGTGCAAGCCTCTGACTCCTTCAAGTACAAGTTCCTGGTCACAGATCCGTCAGATGCCACCCGCAGCACCAATGAGAGACGAGTTGTGGAAGTGGTCTCTCCAGGAGAGCTTGTACAACCTCCTTCAAAACGACAAAGAACTGAGGAAACCCTTTTGTCTGAGACCTCCAGTAGAGCTGAGGTGGAAACAGTGCCGGACTCTGAGCAGACAATGCAAACAAGCCAAACAACCGACACATTGCAGAACAACTTGATAACATCAAGACATGGAGGATTTGGTACGGTATCAAGCACAAGCAGCTTAGCACACAGTAATAATGTGGCAACTAGCTCTCAAGATGTTGGGCAGGATTCAACAGAACTGGCCACAGTTTTTCCAGCTGAGTCCAACATGGCTTCTGTAGAAGCTGAACCAACACAGCTTGTCGACGCTGGAGAAGAATTTGTTCCTTCTAGTACGGACCAAACCGAGCCAACAGTGATGGAGGACAGTGAACAAATACCATCATCAACAGACACCCAGCCAGATGGGAACACCATGGGCAGTCCTGAGGTGGAAGAGGGCGTGACCCTGATGTCACATCCAGGTGCCACAGTAACACAGATTGCAGATGGACAGTTCCTAGTGACCAATCCAGATGGTTCAGGCATGAAGATTGATGCTCCAGGGTTCACAATAGAGGCCATCCAGACTTTACTGGCACAGCAACAGATCACTATGCATGAGTAGATCAAGCAGCAAATTTCAGCAAATAAATACACTGGCATCTATAAAAGTCAGCTTTCATGTGTTCAGGAAATATAACATTCAGTGATATGATCACAAATATGTATATGTTTTTTAGCTCAATGGGTTTGCTCACCTTGGAAGGTACTCCAACAACTGTTGTCAGCTAATCCTCAGTGGAAATCTTAAATGATAAAGTTGATGAAGTTGCT